AGCATCATCAGCATGTAACAAGGACTCCGTCTACCTGTCTATCTTTCCTAGGCTCAGTCAGGAAATTCTGCCACCCTCCCATCAGCAGAACAGGCAGCTCCCTCCACTTCTGGCCAGGGCTCTAAGGTCACAGAGTGACTGCGGGCCAGAGCCCATGAAGAGACTATGGGATTTCTTTGGTGAATCATGGCCTCTTCTTCCCAGTCCATCCTCTCGGTACCCCAGTGGCTCTGGACCTGGTGTTCTGAGAGTCTAGTCCCTGGGTGCAGAGCAGAGCTGAAGTCTGAGTTGCTCCTACCCGTAGCAGTACTTTAAGAAAGGCTTAATCGGCGCTGTGATGTTGGAGGTGATGTGAACTCCGAATATTTACCCCGTCAGCTTTTATCCACCTCTCAGGGACTTACCACTCCCCTACGCGTCCTCTTCATCCCGTTTCTCCTTGCCCCTGGTTGTTGTTTAAAGAGTGTGGAGTAGCGACTCTCAAGCGGGGGGTCCCAGGGACTTTATTAAACTAGAATTTATTAACTGCGTCCTGTCTGCTGCTTGTTCTAGGTATTTTTCACAGGCATCATCTTTAACCGCAACATTAACTGTCACAACTTCATTCTCAGATGTATAAACTTGGGGATTACTGGTGTGATGTGATTTGGCCAAGGCCAGAAAACTTTTAAATGTCAGAACCAGGCCTCCCAGGTGTTGGTCTAGTGAACCGCAATGTGAGCACAGCTGTCTCAGCAGCTGGGTTCTCACCTGGGCTATCACAGTGCCTTCTATGGCACTATCTAGCCATCACAGGGGGTTTTAAAAGGGAGGATACATGTTAGTGCTCACGGCTGCTGCTGACTCTGAGTGGCTACCTCACCACACCACTTCCTTCGGTCTCGCTGAGAATTCCTGTCCCCCTGTCCTGTCCTCTCTGCTTACTTCTTCTCTGTCTCCCCCTCTTCCTGTGGCTTAAATGACTAGCAGCAGATATCAGAGAACCGGACAATCGGACATCGCTGGGGACTGAGTGGAGCAGGGAGTACTTTAGGAATGGTTAGGAGACGAGCTGTCGGCTAGTTATGACCACTTACTACTACTGTTTTAGAAGCATAGAGGAAGGTAAGGAGGTCTACTCTATAGCAATATAAAATTCCACCCAGAAAGAGGGTTCAGCACTTGGGAGGCTAAAGTAGGAGGATAGCCCTGAATATGAGGCCAGCCTGGGCTACACAGCAAGACACTGTCTCAAAACAAACAAACAAACAATACACACAAAGAGGGGAGGCAAGTTTGCGTGCCCACAAAATTCTAAATATATAAACCTTCATGCACCAAGTAACACAGCAGTAATGTATACAGAAAGGAACTTTCGGAAAAAAACAAAGAAAATTACATTTAAAAAATAGACTTTTCAAAGCTGAGAAACATCTCAGATTTGACACGTTAGTCAGGCAAAAATGCATTAAAGGCAAGCGGTAAGAGGAGGGGAGCATTTCCAACCATCTAGCAGCAAGCTGAAGAAGTAAATGTAGACTCATGTGCCTTAAAAAGAGAATGTGTATTCTTCTCACGGAAGTTATAAAAAATTAATAATGTTTTTGGCTACAGACAAAGGTTAATAGATTCCAAACCATAAATACTTTCCCAATATATTCTAGATTCTTTTACTATAACACTATAAGACAAGAAATAAAAAGTTGATATAGCTTAAAAAACATTCTTCTGAGGTTAGGGTACAGCTTGGTAGTAGGGTACTTCTGCAGGATGTGCAAAAACCCGGGTTAAGTCCCCAATGCCACCACACACACACACACACACACACACACACACACACACACACAGAGTAAATAAACAACCCACAAAATATTGACAGGGGTGGGAGGGAGCTAAGAAACAGGGACGAAGTGAAAGTAATCAATGCATTACATAGATACATGAAATCATCAAAGAAACAAATTTAGTTATTAAAACAACTCTCAGATAAATTAAATTATTAAAACAAGTATCATGGATAGTTTAGCTTATATTCTGAGCAGGAGCTAAATGTGTAATGTCAATAAAACATAGAAGGTCACTGAGTACACCGGATGGCCAAATGGGATCCATTAACATAATGCCAGCAAACACAGCATCTAACAGAATGACACTTAGGGTATTCTCCTGTGTCCAGAGCACAGAGGCAGAGGCTGATCGACACACACAGATCTTTTGGGGGTGTCTCTGGCCACTACAGCACTCACAGCTACTGTGAGGCTCCCACAGCTATGCCCAGCCAGAGCCTCTGATAGATTCTTCTGATGGGAGCTTTTAGCCGTGAAGCCTTTTCTTCATCTCCAGATGCCTCTGGGCTCTTCCAAACCCAGCCCTTTCATCTGTGAAGTAAGCACGTCCTCCTCTCCTTGTCCCATGGCCCCTGATCCTAATTACAAGAATAAATAATTCTGTATGTTTATTAGGGCATTGTGGTCCTGGATGCTTTTTGCATTCACTTTCTCCTTGGTCCATCCTGACAGTCCGGGGGGGGGGGGGGAGAATGTCAGGGCAGGAGCTACTTGAAAGGGAGGACCTCAGAGTACTTGCTCAAGGTCTCACTGAGGGGACAAGCCTGTTCTGGAATAAGGGCTCTCTGACCCTTGAGCAGGCTTAGTGATACCTTATTGAAAATAGCACCTTCATGTTCCCACGCCTGAGACTTGGTATGTTCTCCCAGGAGCCTTAAGTCCACAGAGTAGTCCAGACGGGTCCAGCACCACTGGTGCCCATTAAGGCCCCAGGGCTTCTTTGCAGTGGAGCCAGCTCTTGCAAAGGAGGGCTAGCATTGGGTACTAGGCAGAGACTGCGTCTGCTCTCATTTCATTTATCTTAGAATGGTTGTAAAATAAGTTAATTCACGACAAGCAAATTGTCATGTGAGCATGGGAAAGCATCAAGAGTATTGGTTTAATCAAGTAAAACTTAGAGCAAAATTAATATAACACATTTAATGGTATCATAGAATTAATGCCCGGCATGGTTATTAGGCGTAGATGGTAAACAGCTTATATGAATGACTCTAATTAGAATTGCTTTAGCAGAGCCAAATCCATTTTTAAGTTGCTTTCGTCCCACTTTATTGGTTCTTTGGTAGTTATATAGTTGCATTTTGCTGCCTGACGTTTTTCTTGATGCCGTTTGCCATCCAGAGTCTAGGCTGTTTCAAGCGCATAAAGATGGTTCGGGGCCGAAGAGAAAACATCTCGCTTCCTTTGAACTTTGTCTACTCGTGACCTTGAGGTGCCCCTATTTCACAACACAGTCCTTTTCTTCTTACTTCCCCTCCATGATTTTCTTTCTGTTGTGATGGGTTAGCTGAGAGAAAAAGCAACAGCCCTCGTATCTTTCATTTCCAAGGAGAGATGTCTTACCCTGCCCGGAGGAACCTCACATTGCTAGGATGCTGGGAAGATTCACAGACAGCCCTGGACTGTGGATCTGGAGGGACTGGCATCCTCTGCCATGGGTACTCTGAACGCACTATACAATTGCTTCTCTGGCTCTCAGGAGGAGAGCTGTGAACTGGAATTCAGAGTCTGAGATGGTGACCCTGACCATGACTCTTGTTCCAGTTCTTTGCTCTGAGTCCAATGTGTAGTTTCTGAAGAGCTGGAAGGACCCCAGCCAAAATGGCTCATCCTCATTGCTTAACATGCACATGTGGTGAAGCCCCTTCTCCCCAGAAGAGGGAAAAACAGTGATTGGGTCATGGCAAAGCCTGGGGCAGTAGAGGAAGCCTGGCCCTAGATCAGAATCCCAAGTGAATGTGTGATGTGAGGGTAGAATAATGGAGAGGTCAGGGGAATAGTTATATTCCCATCCTTTAAATTTTGTTCAGATGTTCCCTCAGTAACTTCTTAGAGCTGACAAGGAGGGCTGTTTCCTCCATTAATAATGTACCCACCCATGAAGGTCAGAGTGGGCTTGCCATCTTGGACTTTAGAGTGGCAAGTGACAATGTGTGTGTGTGTGTGTGTGTGTGTGTGTGTGTGTGTGCATTACACATTCAAAATGGTTCTTGACAGCCACAACACCAAGAAGGAGTTCTTTCTACAAGATGGGGAAAGTATGGGAAGTGGAGGAGAGAGAGAGAGAGAGAGAGAGAGAGAGAGAGAGAGAGAGAGAGAGAGAGAGAGATGAAAATGTAGTTACCAGAGGCTGGAGGGTATCTCTGTTGGTGAAGTGCTTGCCTTGAAAACACCAGGACCTTAGTTCCATCCTCAGAACTCACATTAAAAAAAAAAAAGCCAGGCACAGTGGCATGTGTTTATCACACTTCTCAGATCATGTCCTGTGGGGTCTTGGAGTGGGGAGAGGATGCTGAGACACAGAACAGGAATAAGTCACCTCAGTGTCATTACCGGCCGTTAACCAGAGCCACCTGTCTCCTACTGTGCAGCTGTGGCCCTGTGCCTGGAATGACACGAGGCCCTGTCCTTTGCAGCAGGCCATTGTCATCATGAAATCTTTGTGAATGGCATGGACTTGAGCTCACACTCGCACCAGGGTCCTCTGTTGTACAGTGTCAGGGTTGACGTAGAGAAGCAGAGAGTGCATCCAAACTGGAAATGGGATACACCAAGACACTGAACAGCAAGGAACCCCTACAGGGTGTGATTCCAGACCTACACAGGCATCAGAGGCAGAAGGGATGGAGAGTGCAGGAGGCCAGGGCTCAGTGCTGGAGGGAAGCAGAGTCCAGGAAGAGAGCTGGGGCAGCTTCACTAGGGAGCACGTGGGTGGTCCTGCAGTGGTTGGAAGACAGGAGAGGGCCCATGATGCCTTTTAGTGGCTGGCCTCTGTGAGCTGCAGCCTTGTCTGGTTAGTCAGCTCTGAAGAACTGAACCTGAAGCCTGGCCTGGCCTGATGTAGACAGTCCCTCAGCCATCCACAGCCCCAGGGACTCATCTCCGGGAACTACGGCTGTGTGATAAGTGGATCTTGGGGAGGACCCTGTCAGCTTCTCCTTTTGCCATTTCTAGGAAAATCGCAGCTTATGATGAAGAAATCCAGCATCTCTACGAGGAGATGGAACAGCAGATCAAAAGTGAAAGGGAGCAGTTCCTCCTAAAAGTGAGTGTTGCACCCCCTGTCCCGCACTGGGGCATGGCTACTTGGCCTGCAGACTCGGAATGCCTTTCCCCATCAAGATCCCAGCATGCTCCTCTTCTGCCTTAGTGTCCAAGCCATTTATCACCTTCAAGCAGAATATATAGTGTACCTATTTGTTTTTATTCGCCATTGTCTGTTTCCTCCTACTAACATGTAAGTTCACTTGCTTACTCATCCAGCCTCAGTTTCTAGGAGATGCTCCATAGGTGTTTGCTCAACCATTGTGTGAGTGAGCAAAGGAATGCATGGAGATGGGTATGGATGAACTGACTGAAAAGAAGGGAGAAAAGAAGGAAGAAAAGGAGGGAGGGAGCCAGGGATAGATGGTTGTATGGATGGATGGATGGATGGATGGATGGATGGATGGATGGAGAAAGATAAAGGGATGGATTGTTGGTGTATGGATAGGAAAGGAGAAAGGGAGAGCAAGAAGGAAATAGGAAAGGAGGAGGAAGAAAGGAAAGAAGGAAAGAAGGAAGGAAGAGACATGTGATGGATGGATTACAGATCATACTTTTGCCGCTAAAGCAACCTGGACATTGGGTTTCACTCAGTTGAGTCCTGTACCTATATAGCAGATCATCAAAAACATACCAGCCCGTTTTATTCCCTGAGCAGCAGCCCCGAGGGAGACAGTCGCTAGAGACCAGGCTGTCCACCCTTTCTTCTTAGACAGCTGGAAAATACAATCACCAAGAAAAAACAAGACCACCGTCCTCAGCACCGGGAGAGAAAATGTGAAGCTTGCACCCCGTTCCTTGTGCACCCCTATTCCTTGTGCACCCCTGTTCCTAGTGTACCCTGCTCCCAATGTACCCCTGTTCTGGTGCGCCCCATTCCCGATGCACCCCTGTTACTAGACCTTTCTAGCCCTTGCTGTTATATTTGGAGGTGAGGACTGGTTAGGTGAGGACCCTCTTCTCTGCAAAACCCAAGCAAAGCAAGATCTGTTTTGGTGCGTCCTATTTGAAAAACAAAAGCAAGAAACCCAGGGAACACTGTCTTGCCTCCCGTGACTGTCTCCCTTACTCTGTGAGTTCTCTGCAAAGGGCTGCTGATCTTGGACAGCAGCCTCCGCTGCCTCTCAGCGCTAAGCCCAGGCTATTGTCTCAGGCTCTTCACTTGATCCAGATTTCAATTTTCCGCTGCTTTGGATTATCCACACCACTGCTCCACTTATAATCACAGATGCCATTCACACTGCAGGGAAATCAGAATGCCTTCCAGAAATATCTGGCCAGAGCCCGTGGAGGCTTGCCAGTGTTCCCAGACCACCCCTATTGTCCTTCAGTGCTCTGAACCCTTCTGACTGTTCCAGTGTTCAGGGAAACTGGATTCGTGTGTGGCAAGCAGAATTCACACACGTCCATCAGCAGCCCTAAAATAGCTTCCCACAACAGCAGTCCCCCCACCTCCGCAGTAGGAAAGCCACCTCCTCCATCCCTGTGACAGACTGCAACAGGGAGACATGCTTTGAGGACATTTTGTCCCCTCTGCCCAAGGCATGGCTGTAGCTAAGATAATGCTTCCAGCAACAGAGGGTGAGCTCAGGCCTGGGAGGCCTGGGAGTGAGTAGAGGTTGCAGGAAAGAAATGAAGGACAAGTTAGCACCATTTCAGATGATCTGGCTTTGGTGCTATGTCCCCTTCCAGCCTCTCCTTTTGTCCAGAGAGCTTAGTGCTTGCACTTAGGCATTGGCTGTGAGCATGAAAACACCAAGGATGGCTTGGGCAGTGCCATTGAGCCTTTAGACATAGACTTTCACTGGGCCCGGAGTTAGGATAAGGATGCTGCCGTCTGCGACATAATATAAAAGGCCAGAGCCTCTGACCAGAGTTTGGATGCTAGTCATACCCATATCATACATTTGACCATGAGAAAAATACCCACTCATTTGCATCCTCCAACTCCAGACTGGGAGATACCCCTCAATGATGTCCCAGCATGGTCAATAGCGTGCTCTATGGCCCCTGTGGGAATGGGTGCATCAGCGTGGGATTCAGAAACCATTTGCGCATAGATCATGAGGTGCTTGCTCTGTGAAAAGTGGTTGAGTGAACTAAGGTTGGTCCCTTGCAGCTGATTTTCTTCAATCAAAGGTGAGGGCCGAGACTGAGTGGACCCCATGCAGGCCGTCGAACGTGGTTCAGATAAGGATGGGCGCAGGTCTTCCTGTGTCTCTCTGCGCATTGATCTGTTTGGACAAGAGCCGAGGAGCCAGCAGCATCACCAGAAGAAGCATGAGCCTTTGAACAAAGTTTGCCAAAGGCTTGTGAGCTGGGAACAACTGTTTTCTGCCAGATGTGGTAGCCAGGACCCCCATAGTCATCCAATGTAGCATCTCATAGCTGGCCCCTCTTGAAGGCATCTCTCTGCCATGGCCTCTCCTGGGGCCTTCAGTAGCTCCTGGTGTGGGTTTTTTCTTTTGTTTTGTTTTTTATTTTATTTGATAGCTTGCCCCTACCTTGCCATAGATGGGGTGGTGCAGGAACAAAGGGCTGTTGGCGTCCACTCTGTTGAAATCCAGAGTGATGAGGCCAGTAAGATGAACAGTGCAGAGACTCAGCCCACGTTTCCTGATTCAAAGCCTCAAAGCCTTCCACCCGACCTGGCTCTGCTGGGAATGGTCTGCCTGTGAAACCCCACACTATCCATGACACTACAGCCAGACATCACATCCATACCCTCAGAACTTAGTAGCTCTGTGTGGAGAAGTCTAGTCTAGGGAGTGAGGGGAAGATGTTGAGTTCAGGACAGAGACATCATGAGGAACATGGCCCAGGAACCCTGAATCACCGTGGATGAGTGGTGAGCACTCAGATCCTCCAAGGAGGCAGGAGTAATGCACTGTGCCCGGAGCCAGTGTGGTTTAAGGGACCAGTGACAGTGTCCACAGTGACCAGTGACAGTGTGAACTAGAGTCTCCAAGTTGGAGGCCATCTTAGATATGTATAGATGGGAGGTTGGCCAATGAGTCACACTCAGGCTCCTCCTCTCCCTGTCCCATTCCACCAATGGCTGTCCTTCGGTCATTGTTTGGGTGGGAAAGCATGGTAAGGCACCATCACAGGATATGGCCACATTCACATTTTCTAGCGTATGTCTGAGCACTAGCTTGGTCTCATGGATCCTCAGTGGTGGGGTAAGTGGGTCACTGAAGCCTGGGGTTTCAGGGGATGGGCCTCAAAGTGAAAAGCGGTTAAGCTGGCCCAGCTGATGAAGGAGTTCAAGTGCATGCTTCCAAGGCTGTAAGTTGGGTGCGCTGGGTGTAGGACCCACTGTCTTCTCTTCTGGCTTGGCAGGACACAGAGAGGTTCCAAGCCCGCAGTCGAGAGCTGGAAAAGAAGCTGAGCGCCAAGGAGCAGGAGCTGGAACGTCTCATCCAGAAGCAGAGCAGGGTGGGTTACTGCGCAGACCCCTTGGTCCCTCAGCTCGTCCAACTCATCTTTGCCTCTGCCCCCCACCCCCTCCGCCATTCCCTCATGGATTTTAAACTTGCCCCAGAAGACCTGTGTGTCTGCATATGTCTTCATTCAAAGTCCCCACAAGGTGGATATATTGACATAGGCATGTAATCACACCACTGGGTAGACTGAGGCAGGAGGATTCTGAGTTCCAGGACTGCCTCGTGGACCTAGTTCAAAGCACAGCCTGGGTTTTATAGTGAGACCCTGTCTCAAAATGCTAAAACTACTTTAAGCATTTTAAAATTTAATTTTTAAAACCAAGTCACAGATGACCCTAGATAAAGCCACAATTGTGTGTTTAACCTAGAAAAGTCCCCATGAGTCACCCAACCCCCAGGGATCCGAGGACAGTTTCACATAATTATACCCAAAGGTAATTATGGGTGCTAAACCTTGAAGTTGGATCAGGCATCCTGCAGAAGAGAGGAGGGACTCAAGGGAGTGCAGGGACACTTGTGGGACACTGATACTTTAGGGTAAGTGCAGACACAGTTGTCCTCTTGGGCACAGCTGTGGATAACCCCAGCTGGAAACGGCTCCTCAAAGAGTTGCCCGCATGCCTGGACAGGGTCCATGACCTCCTCTGGGACACAGCTAGATGCGAACACCGGCCACTCCCCTCTCCATGCCTGAGCAGAGAAACAGACTGTGTGGCATGCTCTACAAGGTGGCAGCTGTACCTAGATCTCAGGACGCCTGGCTCACAGTACCAGGTAGCCAGGGCCAGTGTCTTGCTCAGCAGCCTCCTCAGGAAAGCAAGACCTCTTGGGAGTGAGGGGAGGGAGGTGGGGGAAAGGGATGTAGCACTGGCCTCCAGCCTCAGTTTGCTTGGTCCTGGAAGAAATCCAGCCTTGGACAGACCGACACATGGCTTTCCTGGGAACAGAGAAGACTATTTTTAGCAACATGCGAACATAAGCTTGAAGAACCCCCCTGCTGAGGCCAGGGCTGCTGCCCCTGCTGATTGCTAAGCTTTAGGTCTAAGCCTCTTTCTCCTTTGTAGCAAGAGGCTGCAAACCCTGGGAACTGCCTGCCGCCTTTCCATTCTCCATCCACAGTCATACCTTGGCTCACTCCTCCTTCGCCTCCTCTCTGCTATGTATTGAGTTCATAGCAATTAAATTCATCCCTCCAATGAATGATTGCCACTCCATTTAATTACTGCACGCTTGCCTGATAACACGGGAGCCTCGTGAGAGGCTTACGACATTCCTTGTAGCAGCTCTTCTCCCCTCACTGGCCACATTCACGAAACTAAATTTATTATGATCTATTTGCCTTGGTGTGCCGCTTAGTCTGGAGAGCCTGGGAAGCCCCACAAAGCCTACTCACCAGCCAAGAAGAGCTGAAGTTATCAAAATGCACATTTTTTTTTTCAGTAGCTTGAGGGATGCAAGAAAAGGCATGGGGGTCTGTTTGACCTGGTTTGGTTCTTTCTTCAGAATCTCCAAGGTCCGTGGGACTCAGGCAAAGCTGTCTCTTAGATGAAGGGGGAACTGGGCTCCTGTAGCTGAGGGGAGAAAGGAAATTGATAAATTGCCTACCTGTGGTCACTACCGGGAAGGTGGCTTTATGATGAACAGCCACTGAACTGTTGTTCTCGGTTCCCATAGGGACCAAGGCAAAGACATGGGCTTGGAGGACAAAAGGGATATTTAGATGAGGTCTCCTGCCCATGGTGCCTTTGGGAAGGAAGACACAGGTCACCTGTGAAATTTTCATTGCTAGCAATCCTGTAGGAGGAGGCCACCCCAGGCCCATCTAGCAGTCCCATGTGGAGACTGAAGGACAGAGTGAATGGGCTGTGAAAGTCACTACTGCCTGCAGAAGTGTCTGCAGGGGAGCGACGGAACAGAGCAGGGCTAGCCTGGGCTTGAGGGCGGTGGGGAGCTGAGCCAGCCCTGGCCCTGGCCCTGTTCATCCTTCCTCTCTGCCCCCTTTGTAGCTGGAAGGCCAGTGCACAGCTCTACACAACGACAAACAGGAAACCAGGGCTGAGAACACTAAGCTGAGACTCACTAACCAGGAGCTGGCCCGAGAGTTGGAGCGCACCTCCCAAGAACTCCAGGAGGCCCAGCAGCAGCTGGAGAGCCTCCAGAGAGAGGCCTGTGAGCTGCAGCAGGAGAAGGAGATGTGAGTTCAGCCCCAGACACGGCAGGCTGCTCTGCTCTGTACTGGAGACCAGGATCTTTCTTCCCCAAACCCTGTTTCCTGCCCGGTGTGTGAGGTGGAGAGCTAGCATCCTTATTCCCTGGGATTCCTTTCTCTCCCTCCCCTTCTCTCCTTTTCTTCAACAGAGTCTTACTGTAGAGCCCAGATTGCCCTTGACCTTATCATTCTCCTGCCTCAGCCTCTTGAGTTCTAAGGTGACAGACATGACCCCAACCCCCAACCCCGCACACACTCCCCTGATGCTCCTTGAGACTTCTAACCCTCCTCAAGGATCTGAGACTACTAAGCAAAGCAGTACTGTGCTAGGTGTGGCCAGAGGTTCACAGGAAATAGCTCTTGACCTAGTTGCTTTCTGTTGCTAAAACACTGACCAAAAACAGCCTGAGAATAGAAAGGGTTTATTTGGCTTACAGGTTACAGTCTATCATCAAGGGAAGCCAAAACAGGAACTCAAGGCAGAAACCCTGGAGGCGGGAACTGAACCATAGAACATGGGAGAATGATGCTTCCTGGCTCGTTTTCCAGCTCAGGGTCAACATGTTTCTTAAAGAGCCCAGGTCCATCTGCTAGGGGTGACACTGCCCACAGTGGGCTGCACCCCCATTCATCTATTAGTAATCAAGAAAATGGCCCACGGACATGCCCATGGGCCAATTGATGGAGGCAATTCTTCAACTAAAGTCCCCTCTTCCTAGGTATGTCAGAGTGACAACCAGGATTAGCTATCACAGTCCTGGTCTTGGGAAATGTATTCTGCAGATAGAAAGACCAGCTATTCTACCCACACATAAGGAGGCAGCCCGAGCAAAGGCTGAAAGAGCAGAGGCCCTTGGTACCCATGGAAGGCTAAATACTAGGAGCCTCAGGTATATGAGAGTGGAAAGGCTTCTGGGGTCAGCTGATGATGTGACTGGTGTATGACAGGGCTCTGGAATCATGTCTCAATCCTTAGCCATTTTTTTTTCTAGCCGTATTTCTCTGAGAAGACTGTCTAAGCCTATAAGGGAACTCCACCTCTCTCAAAGTTTTGCTTCCCGTTCACTGCCCTTAGTTCCCAGCCATTGTGCTCAGGCAGCTAGACAGAGGCAGAGCCATGCCCAAAAACAAATTCAGTGGGTCTTCCCCTACAGCTGGAGGGGATGATGCCAAAGTAGCCCTTCACCTTCGGGGACATTAGATTTTTTAGAGCAAAGGACTCTGAGACCAGGCAAAGGGACCTGTTTATTTGGTCATTCATTTATCTACATACGCATTGATATCCTCACCTGACAAATGGTCATTGCAAATCATTCCACACTTGGGCCTTCAACACATCTCACCAAGGTCAAGAACTTGACCTCCTCTCATGTGATCACACTATGTTCTTATGTGGCTGGTGTATTGTCAGTCTGATTGATGGGCAAGCAAAGCAAAGCCCAGATGTGAAATGCTGCAATACCCTCCTAACACCCCAGAGGACAATAAACCTTCCAGATACACTGTTCACAGCTAGGACCAGGACTCATCTCATTCACTTGCTCTTCACTAATTCACTCATAAACACATCCGTTCTGCCAGGGGCCATGTGTGTTTGAAAGACACCATGGGTACCAGTGGTCTGATTTCAGGGCATGGGATGATAGGCTGACCAGCACTAAAGGCTCTGTGCATCCTAAGTGCCTTTGTTCAGGATAAAAGCCCTCACTTTATCTGAGTGCCATCAAGATTCTGGTACATGGAGAACATCCAAGATGCCCCCACAGTTCTGCTCCCGTGTGGAGTCAGAACCATTTGGGATGGACTGTCTGGATGAGAGGGACAAAATGTGTTTGGCCTGGGAATGTCACCCTAGTAAGGTATCTCAAATTGTAAGATAAATAAATGACTCCCTAGAAGCTGACTTAGAACGGAGCCCAGCCCCCATGCCAGTGCTTCGGAATGCGAGTCAGAGGGACCATGCCTTTCATCATAAACAGGCTGAGTCAGTTCTTCCTGTCTGAGAGTAGGGTGCCAAGGCACAGGCACCTGACTTTATGACGGAATTAGGGATTCAGGCACTTCAGATCCAACCAAGCTCTCAAAACTGCCAACCACTGCAGGCAAAAACATTAAGACAGTGAAGGGGAGCAAACACTTTCAGGGAGCATCACGGCTCAGCACAGGGAATCGGTAGCCTTCGCGTGCCTTATCTTCATGAACAAAGCCAGAGATGCATCCCTGAAAAGAGGGAGGCAAGGGCGTAAGGAGGAAAGGAGAATCTGGAAGCTCATATGTAGGAGCTTGGAGTATCCTATGGATGTGATGGGCCCAAGAGAGCCTCCCTCCAGAGAAGCCAGGAGAGTGAGCAAAGCCCTGACTCATTTTCTGGAGACTGGAGACTCAGACCAACACCAGCGACTACACCATGGAGCTCCCATTCACTACCTCCATTTTTACACAGGACAACCAGAGGCTCAGAGAAGCCACACAGCCAGCTGAGATTAGGCCAGGGTCCAAACCTCCTCCTCCCAGTGTTCCTGGGTCTTGTGGTGTGGTGTTGCTTCAGAGCTGCTGGGAGGGGAGAAGGAGACAGGGAGTGAACAGACTTGATCGTTTATCAGCAAGCATTCCAAATGGACAAAATTAATTTTCCCACTCTCTGAAAACATTGAAGGTAGGAAGACTAGATTTGAGGATGAGATAGAAAAAACAACCCTCAAGCAGCGAGATAACACAAAAATGAAGGCCAGCCCAAAGCTGCACCTCTGAGCTGGTTTTTAATTAACTTTTATCTTGAAGATATAGTTTAAGACAAGATACAAAAGAATGACTCCCCAAGAGAAGTCTGTCTCCTCCTATGACCCCTGTCTCCTGTGGATCCTGGAGTCTGATATGCATGTGCAAATACATCCTCATGTATACACACACACACACACACACACACACACACACACACACACACACATACACAAAAATGCACATGCATATATACATGCACACACTCATAAGCACACATGTATACACATACACATAAATACGTGCATGCACATAAGCACACACATAAGCACACACTGACATCCACACATATGTACACAAACACTTTCCTTTAGAGACTGGCAGTCAGCCAGACATACGGGTTTGTTTTGCCTTTTTCATTTAACAACATACTTTGCAGAATGTTTCATAGCTCATCTCTTTCCTAAAAACAAAGCCACAGCAACTCCCTGAGGGAAACTATGAACTTCTCATCAAGGACTATAACAAAAGGCAGCTGGTCCTCTCCTTCCCAGTCTGTTGCCACCCAGGGAGAGGTGACCTCTAGCTCAGAGGGACTCAAAGGTTAGCCAGTCAAATCTCTAAGAGCTGGTGTTTAATGATGCCCTTTGGCTAACACACAAAAACTGTATAGCTGGATATATCCATATGTGTGTGTGTATGTATATACTGACCACCATAGATGTGTGTTCACTTGACAGACAGATGAGCATGTATTTGCATAAGTTTGCCGTGTGTGTGTGTGTGTGTGTGTGTGTGTGTGTGTGTGTGTGTGTGTGTCCTGGTGTCATACACAGAGGCAGACCCACATAGCATGAGACTTATGAACTGCTTTCTCAGTCAAACACTGAAGACACAGACCTCGGCTCTGCAGTGAGTTCTTGCCCTCAGCAGGGGACAATTTCTCTGCTGCCCCTGCCAGGCAGGAGTAGGAGCCAGGTAGGAGAGCCCCTGAGCTGGGCACAGGCCTCTTCAGTAGCCAGGACCCAGACAGGAGCAGGCAAGGCTGTACGTGGTGTGCTAATCAGAACAGAGTCCCAGACAGGGGCTCAGGGACCCAGTTTGTATAATGGGAAATACACTGTTTTCCCTGAAGTTGAAATTAAATATAATTGGTAATAAAATGTGAGGAATTCACGTCTCTGCAGGAGCCAGCAGAGTTGTGTTGCTTAATTAGGATTGTCTGAGGTGAACTTAGAATTTGATTCAGTCTGTTATGGTCGTCAAGCGACTTGGTAATTATTCTGTAAGGAAGAAGAAGAAGGAAAAACACAGATGACGCCTAAGGACTGAAGTTATCAGGTGCTTAGTGGGAGGGGCCCCAGGCCGATGCTGATGCCAACTGCTCAGTCATGACATTGAGAGGTGGCAGAGGGGTGATGTCCTCACAGCCCAGTGAGCTCAGTCAGATGGAAAGTGACCAGTCTATCAGCTGTTGGGTACTGTCTGCCAGAGAACCACACTGCTGTGGAAATGGGAACTCTGGGGCCTTGGTGGTGAGACAGGAGAGTTGCTTGGGTTCTGTGCTAAAGGTTCAGGGCACAGGGGCAAAGATGGGGCACAGCTGGAACTCCAGTCCAGTGCTGCCCACTTGGGTTGTTTCCTCTGCTCGCCCTCCCATCCCCCTCCCT